CTTTTTTCCAAGTTGGTCTATTATGATGTCTTTGGGTTAATGAAATATTGCTAAAATTTGAGTCACACTGTTATTTCTTCCTATTCAAACCCCAATAAATATAAGAATGCAAATTCTATATTAAGTTTTATTTCATTAGCTTCTTGGAGCATTGCCAAGAACCCCCCCCCCCAATAAATTTTATTTTTCTTTTTTCCAAGTTGGTCTATTATGATGTCTTTGGGTTAATGAAATATTGCTAAAATTTGAGTCACACTGTTATTTCTTCCTATTCAAACCCCAATAAATATAAGAATGCAAATTCTATATTAAGTTTTATTTCATTAGCTTCTTGGAGCATTGCCAAGTTTATAAACTATATATTTTAGTTTAATATGCAAATTACTTGACAATCACTAGCGTTATCTTTCTAGTTGAATTGACTATTCCTTAAGGCCTATACCATGTTGTATTTTTCCTGCTTCCATATTTTGCCCAAACCATTTTTTCTACATCTAAATATTTTAAACTCATGAAATATTGTCTGATCTTCCAGATCTAATTCAAGCAGCTTTCTGTACCTGCCCTGGTCAGATGCACTCTTTGCCTCTACCCTTTGAGTACCTTTACTTGACTTACAGTCTACTCTACTAGTTGGTTGTGTTCTTTTTTTTCCTTTCCTTTCCCTTCCCCTTCCCTTCCCTTCCTCCTTTTCCTTCCTCTTTTCCTTTTGCCCTTCCCTCCCTCCCTCCCTCCCCCAATTGCTCTGGTTAGGGTTCACATTTCAGTCTTAATTTGATTCAGTTGAGAAAGACATATGCTAGGTCACCTGCAGGTACCATTTGTGCATCAGCTGAGGAGATGGCACATAACTGGCCTCCTTTATACTTAGGGTTCTGTCTTCCTCCATGCCCTTAATGTCCATTTTGTCAACACATGAAGAGTCATCCCCCTCCCCCTCCTCCTCCTCTTCCTCTTTTTCTTTTTCTTTCTTTTTGAGACAGAGTCATATAGCTAGGCTGGCCTTGAACTCCTGATCTTCCTGCCTCCACCTCCCAAGGTCTGGGATTACAGATAAATGACTTCTTTTTTAAAAATCTTATGTGTATGACTGTTTGACCTGCATGTGTCTAAGTACACCTATGTTGTGCAATGCCTGCAGAGATCAGAAGAAAGCGTCCAATCCCCTGGAACTGCAGTTATGGATGGATGTTAGCCATTATGTGGAACTAAACCTAGGTTCTTTGCAAGAGTAGCCAATGTTCTTAACTGCTAAGCCATCCCTCCAGCCCCAGGAAATGACATTTTGAGCAAGAAAATATGTCCTTGGTTTTCATTTATTGAGACAGGGTCTCATTCTATAGTCAAGGCCACCTTGGGACTGTTGGCCCAGGAAGGCCTCCAAACCATTTGATACTCTTGCCTCAGTCTACCAAGGGCTGGGATTATGAGCATGAGCCATCATATTCAGCTAGACAATCATTTTTTAAGCAAAATTTTAAGATATTGGGGACTGATTAGGGGTTGAAGCTAAGCTTAGTGGGAGACTACTCATTCAGTGTGCACAAGGCTTTAATAAAGTTCAACCCCCAACACTGGAGGAAAAAAAGTAAACCATATAGAAAAATAATTTTGGGGGGAAAATTTATAAGCCATCAAACAATGAAATTTACATCTATAAACAAAAAACAAAAAAATGGTTAGTAGAAGCTACTTGAAAAACAATACAGCCATGAAAATTTTGTTAGCATGATTAAAATAATAAAAATAAACATTTTAAAGTACTTTTAGTAAATAGAAATGAAGCTGAATTTCTCAATGTTAGTTAAAATTATACATTGAAAATTACTGCTTAATAGTTTTATTGCTAAATAATTACTGAAAGTTATTACAATCAGTAGTGCTTCAGTATGAATGAGACCTGGGCCCCTAACTTCAGCAAAGATTTGTGATGTGGACTTCATAGGTGTAGTAGATCTAAGTCCCTTATAGACCATTGATTAAATATTTTAAAGCAACAGAACTAACAGGCAATAAGGTCACCTCTATATAAATGTCTTCATCATATTCAATTTTATTGACATTTAAAAAAATTTAAATTATTCAAATAATTCTTTGTAAATAAAAACTGTTATATTTATACCAAGGGCAAATCCTGATAAAATGTTTAATTAGTATTTATTTAATAAAAGGTTTCCTTTGTTAAAAGGAATTTTATAGTATAACTGATAGATAAAATACTTTTATATACACAAGATTTAATTTTCTGGCAGAAAAATACAATGTATGTAATCTCTTAGAATGTAATCATCATATAATAATTTTTTTTACTAAGTAGTTCCCTCCTATTATTTTGGACCAAATAGGTCCATTAAAACATAAGTTTTCAGTGTACATTTATATTTTAATTTTCAGCAAGTGCTCTTGCTATAATTCTAAAGAATTTCTTCCCATAAGTTTATAGCCATAGGTTTTTAAGAATTACCAAATATGAATGCATTTTTATACTAAGACTAGTATCAGTTAATCTTTTAGAGCATACATTTTGTCCCCTTTTAATATCAGGAACAGTATGTAAAAAGTAGATGGGAGACAACTATGAGAGACCTGCAACAGCACCAAATCTCTTGCTGCTTGAAAACATCTACTAAAGGGCAGTAGTATGGGAAGAGCTAGTTGGAAGCCCTGACCTACCTCTAAGCTCTTGCTGCCTTGTCCCCTATCTCAGTTTCTGAAAACTACAAAAAATCCACCAGATGAGACTTGATTGACAAAGATTGATCAAAATCTGCTTCTGGTCTGCTTGTTCAACTCATACTTATTAATTTGAACTATATGTCTATAATATGAGTATTAATGGAACCAATGATAAAATAAAAAAGAAATTGGTAAACTAATGAGAAAGGCAGATGAATTCATAGCAGGTAGTGTGAAACAAATGAGCTACAGTAAGAAATAAGGAAAAATTCTGTTACTATACTGCTATCTAAAGATAGCTATTAGGGGGCAGGTGAGATAACTCATGGTTAAGAGCACTGGGTGCTGTTGCAGAGGACCTGGGTTCAGTTCCCAGCACCCACATGGTGGCTAACCATCTGTAACTCCAGTTCTGGAGGTTCCAAAGTCCTCTTCTGACCACATAGGCATTACATGCACATGGTACACTTACTTATAAGCAGGGAAAACATTCATACACATAAAAATAATAAGTAAAAAATTTTTTTAAAAGAAATAAAGATAGCTATTTAAATTGAAATATTTATCAAATACTCTCTAACATTATATAAAGCTCTGGTAAAGAATGGATAACAACATCATTTATAGTAGAATCTAATATTGTCTACTCATAAAATACTTATCATTTACTACTATTATCATTTCAATAATTTGCATATATTTTTGGAATGATCTCCAAACAGTAAAAACCTCAAATTTTTTAATTAGAATTTGTTTTAAATTCATCTACCCTGAACTTTTATGTGATGCAGCAAGTGACTGAGCCTTACTTAGTTCTTTATATGGTTTACTAAATATGAAATAAGATCATATATACAAAAGCCTAGCTTTGCTTGATTTATTAAGTAAATATGTTAAGTGTTTAAGAAATGGCTATTAAGTACCCATGAATTTATTTAATTAGTGTTTGTAGTGTAGGTATATGGGTACACACGTGTGTGCAGGTGCATGCAGGGGTCAGAGAAGGACATCAAGAGTTCTCCTCTATTGTTCTATACTTTATTCCCTTGAGACAAGATCTCTTGCTGAACCTGGAGCTAGGCTGGAAGCCAGCAAGACTGATCCTCCTGATCTGTCCCCATAGTGACAGGGTTACAATTGTACACAGGTCAGGCCTACCTTCTTATGTAGGTGCTGGGCATTGAAACTCAGGTTGTTACAGTAGTGCAGCAAGTCTCCTTACCCACTAAACCATCTTTCCAAATGAGAATTCAACTTTATAATATTATTTACAGCAACATCAAGGAAACTAAAAAAATGTAAGTAATTCTTTGGAATAAAAGTAACCCGATATAACTCTATAAAAGTGAAATAATACATTAATAAAAATATAAACCCAAACAATGTAATATTTAATTTACTTGGTCTGATGATATAAAGTAAACAATATGAGGTTGAAGATACTTGTGTTTCAGGGGTGCATTATAAGTTATATTCTCATAGTACTAGTCATTCCAGTAGTCTGGTGGCTCTTGAATCTGGCCACACATTTCAGTTATCTGGGAAGCTGTTCAAAAGTCCCACGCCTTAGTTCTACCACAACAAATTCTGATGTAATTATTATGAAAGATGTTTTCTTTAAATATCCCAGGTGACTCTAATGCATTAATTTGGCTTAAAAAAGGAAAACTCGATCAGCAAAAAAAGGGTGAAGAATTGATGGATAATGGCAGCATGAAGATTTTGATGAAAGATGCCTTATATTGTTAAGAATAAGGATTCTAGGGCTGATGAGGTGGCTCAGTGGGTAAAGACGCCTGCTGCCAAGCCCGACGACCTGAGATTGATTCCCAGGACCCACGTGGTAGAAGGAAAGAACTGACCCCCAAAAGTTGGCCCGTACCCGTGCATACACACACACACACACACACACACACACACACACGCACACAAATTGTTTTACAAAAGGGATTCTAGTACCACATAATGTAAGTCTGAATTCTATATCACTATTGTGTAGTATAATTCTGTGAGAGTTGTTATGTTAAACTCAATTATTAAATTGATGGAGTTATATAAAATTGAATTCTACATATGTCAAATTAATCATCTATAATTGGAGCTAACAGTATTAGTAACACTCATAGATGATATTTTCCAATGAGTAAATGGATGTTCAGCACTTAAAAACCAATAGTTGCAGCTAAGGAGACGGTTAAGTGGGTAAGAGCACTTGTTCAACAAATATGAGGACCGATATTCAAATCTTAGGAACCCATGTAAAAAGCTGGATATGTTAATGCATGTCTGTATTTCAACTCTGGGAGGAGTGGCAGAGATGTGGATCACTTGGGCTTTCTCGATGCCAGGTTCAGTGAGACCTTATCTCAAGAGAAGAAGGATGGGGAGTGACAAAGCAGGACACCTGACATCTTCCTATAGTCTCCATACTCACACGTAAGCACATGCACACACACGTGCATACACCACACACAGAGATACCACAAACACATATTAAATTTTTAAAAAGTTGGCAAATACTCTATGTTCTGTAAGTGTTATATAATGATTATGAGGCTTAATGATAATACTTACAAGTAAGAATTAAGGTGTTACGTAAAAGTGTAACAATTTTCAAATCTGGGATGATAGCAAATATAAATGAATGTAATTATTAGAATGCCACTGGACATATGAATATGATAATACAAAATCAATAGAAGCCAAAAAAAAGAAAAGACTCTATAAAGAGTGTTTTTACTATTTATGTAAACAGAAGTTACTGTTTGTTTATATAATTCACTAAGAAATGCTGTTGGGCATGGTGGCACACATCTTTAATACCAGCACTTGGGAGGCAATGGTAGGCAGATCTCTGTGAGATCAAGGCCAGCCTGGTCTATTAGTGAGTTGAAGGCTAGTTGGGACTACAGGGAGATCCTGTCTGCACAAAGAAAAGAAAACTATTAATTTTTGGTTTTAATAGTATCTTTTCATGCTGTTCAGGTGAGTCTCAGACTCCTAAGCTCAAGCAGTCCTCTTGTTCAGGCTTTTGAGTAGATGGGAATATAGGTATATACACTACTGTGCTAGGCTTGAAAAATGATTCTTTATAAGGGAATTTCACCCTTAAAATTTGTAAAATCTAGGACTATAGGTAAATTGCTTAAGAATTCATTTTTTCAAAACTGAACATATGGGGCTAGAGAGCACTGGCTATTCTTACAGAGGACGTGGGTTCGATTCCTAGAACCCATGTGGCAGCTAACAACCAGCTGTAACTCCAGCTCCAGGAGCGGCCTCTTCTAAACTTCAAGGGCATTGTACAACACAGATGCATTTATATACATGCAGGCAATACACTCATACACAGAAAATAAAAATAGTATTTGTGAAAGAGACATACTCTTGCTCTGGAGTGTGTTACTGAATATGTTAAAGCTGTAGTGAAATGCTTCTTCTAATCATGTAGTTATTAAAAATAAAAAATGATTAAAAAATAATTCTTCAAAGCATAAAAATTTGCTCCTTAATAATTAGTAGATGTGAAAAATATTACCCTTGAAATCTACCTGATGATTTTATATCCGAGCTCAGATTCCAAGGAGCTCAGAAAGCAACCGACTGTGACTAGTAATAATCAGATATATAGAGATTAGAAATGCAAGTGCAAACATCTTAATGTCAATTGCATTAAAAATGAATTTTCCTGAATGAAACTTTGTATTTGAATAATGAAATGGAGACCTTTTTTAAAGGCTAAACCCTTTTTTAATTTTATGTCTTACAGGGTTTATACTGAGTACAATATTGTATAACTGCAATAATTCAACTGTAAACCTAAAAATTTATAGCCAATTTTGAAAGAGATGCATCTTAGCTCTGGAAATTGTTATTGAATATGTCAATGCTGTTATAATGAAATGCTTCTTCTAAGTATGTGGTTATTAAATAAATAATTAAAAAAGAATATACTGATACTAGAAAAAAAGAACATTAATTTTAAATAAAAGTAATTAAAACCTGTCTTATTCAATCATAGTATCTTCTTACTTCCAAAATATTAGATGAAGAGGAGGAAGGGGATGGGATGATATATGATTGCATCATCAAAAGTAAATGAAACAAATGTATATGCAAATGTAAAATCAGAGAAACACAATTCTTTTTTCAGTGACTCAATCTACCACTGAGCTATATCCATAACCTAAAATTGGAGAATTTAATTTTCTGATGTACACCAGTCTATGCCTAGAGACTAAGAAAGTAAAAAAAAAAAGCAGACTTTACTTTCAGCTTAAATATAGTGATATGACATAAAAAATTTTTTGTTCAGGGCTGGAGAGATGGCTCAGTGGTTAAGAGCCCCAGCTGCTCTTGTAGAGGGTCCAGGTTTGATTCTTAGTACCCACATGGTGGCTAACAATCTCTTCTGACTCTGTGGGCATTGTACAATGCAGGTGCACTTAAGAGACATGCAGACAATACACTCATACACATAAAATAAAAATAATAAATTTGTAAAAATTTGTTTTTTTCCTATCGTTGAGAATTAAACACAGGCTGTGCTAAGTGTTAAGCATGCTCTACCACTGAGCTATTCTTTTAGCCTCACTCTATGTTTTTCCAGTAATGGCATTCTTATATAAATAACATTTAACTCACCCGTTTAGATCGCAATTCACTGGTCAAAGAACTAGATTCTTCAGAGGTATTTTTATTCCCTGCTTTAAGTACATCGGGAGAAGGAACTATGAGTTTCCTATAAGCTTCCTTTTTGGCTTGATTTACCAAAGATAAAGGTTTCACATTGGATACCAATCCCGTAGACTGTATGACACTGGTGTGTTTGTTCACAGATTCCTCCTTTGCCTGAGAGCTTTGGAAAATAAATGGAAGCTGCTGTGACAAAACCTGAGGCTGCTTCTGCTGGGACTGGAATGGTGAATGAGTCTGGGGTTCAGACATAAGAGGTAATGGCTGGTGTATTCTTTTTTCCTGGGCTTTTTCAGTTACTTTCTGTCCATCTGCTTTTGGGTCTGAAATACCATGTAATAGCACCTGGAAATAAAAGAACTTATTAACAGCTGTTATGAGCAAGCACCAAGTGAAAAAGCTTGGAGAAAAAAATACATTGGAAAATAATACTAATGACTTGAGATAGAAAACCAATATAAAGCTCACTGAAATATATCAAGTATTTTTTAAAAAATACTTCTCCAACTCCTATTTTTTGTGTGTAAAAATAAGAACTTAAGGAAATTACAGACTGAATCAAGATAAACCAATTAATTCCTAAATATGAAGAATGCTTGTACAATATACAAAACCATACCTGGTTGTTACTTTCAGGTTGTGCTTCATTCTCTGAATCAGAATCATCCTCTTCACTTTCTTCAATACTTTGGTCTTCTTCCTCTTCATCTTCTAGATCGTCGGAATCACTACTGCTAATGCCTTCACTTGAGGTGTCTGATGATGTGCCTGAATCACTATCACTGTTGCTAGAACTTTCCATAGTTTTCTTCCTTGGTTTCTAGAGAAAGAGAAGGTATTTGGCAAAACTTAATTTTTTAAATTTTTATTTATTTTTTGATAGGATCTTCCTAGCCCCAACTCACCAGGAACTCATTATATAGACCAGGCTGACCTCCGTCTCACAAGAGATAGGCTTGCCTCTGCCCCTCCAGTGCTAGATTAAAGGCAAGCACACCATACCCGGCATAGAGTATTTTTTTCTAATTCAAGTTTCAGTAAAAGGCATGTGCTTTTAAATTTCAAATAATATTTTCAGTATCAAAACATCATTTTAAGAAAAAGAAATTTACATATGGGTAATTATTTAACAAACGATCATATTTGGCAGGAATTCACCAATAAAAATTATAAGTTCTGACATGACTAGTCACTGAATATATTTGTCACACCCATTCAGAAAAAGTGATTTTAAAAAACTATCATTGGGGCTGGAGAGATGGCTCAGTGGTTAAGATTACTGGCTGCTCTTGCAGAGGACCCTGGTTCATTCTCAGCACCCACATGGTGGCTAACAACCATCTGTAACTCTAGTTCCAGGGACTCTGATACCTTCTTCTGATCTCCATGGGCACTGGTTGACATGGGTGCACTTACATGCATTCAGGCAATACACTCATGCTTATTTTTTTAAATGACTTTAAAATATATTGTTAGGGGTATGTGTGGAAGGGGGCTTATAACCTGAAATTCTATTTTTTTCTTCTATTTAAAACTGTATCAATTCATTCTATTATAGTAGTCTTTGATGGCGAAACTATTACTATACATAAAATAAAGTGTAGTTTTAAAAAAGTGCATCTTCTATCACATGTCGAATTGAAGCTACAGTTACAGGTTGCAAATCAATACTCTTTCTTCTACATAAACACCCTTTAGTAAGGAAAGTAAGGGTGCATCACTCCCTGTTGTACCCGTCTCCTTCCCTCAGAGAGGCACTGAGAAACTGAATTGGAATACTGTGGGAATAACAAGATGAGAAAGACCATAATGTGGATATCAAAGGGAAAGAGTAATATGCTAATATTAAACCTCCTATTTGGCAAAGAATCAACAATTTCTTTGCAATCAGGATCTGTTACAGGGTTTCTAACCATATACAGCTAATTATAAAAATCATAATGAATCTAAACTTATATTACTACTTCTAGTTTAATAAGAGCTGGGAAAGCAGAGGAATTAGGAAGGTACAATGATTTAGCAGAGAAAAACAAACTATTTCAATATCCGTGCCATATGTATATACTTTTAATTATTTTTGTTTCTTTCACTTACATGTATAGGTGTGAGTTTGTGTGTGAGCATATGTCACATCTGTGTAGGTGCCCATGGAGGCTAGAAAAGGGTGTTGAACATCCCACAGCTGGAGTACATGTGGTTGTGAGCTGCCTGATGTGGTTGTAGAATCCGAACTTGGGTCCTTTGGAAGTGCTCTTAATTGCTGAGCGATCTCTCCAGATCTCTAATTTTGTTTTTAAAGGCATGAAAAGCAGGGACTAACTCTCTGAGTACAGGTCTAGAGGTATAGGTTTTCAAGCTGTAGGGTAGATAAGATTCTGTTGAAGAACTGGTTGAGATCAGCAGATTTCTGGGTTCTACTTCTAAACAAGGCAGAGGGATCATCACTCACAAGCAGTTAATGTGATTCCAGTGGAGACAGTCTCCACAAAGGACATATTGACAGTATAAAAAGGGTCACCAAAAAACCCTACAGTAAAGCAAGGAGATCAGTATCAGTATTATATTGGCATTGGAAAAAAAGGGGAAAATGAGTTTGGATATCAACCACCTCATTTCCAAAGTTACTCTGTGTGTGTGTGTGTGTGTGTGTGTGTGTGTGTGTGCGCGCGTGCGCACACACACACACACACACACACACACACACAGCACTTAAAGATAACTAGGTAATGACTCTTTACTTTCACTTACACCTTTTTAAAAAAATAATGTAGAGTTTATATGATCAAAGAAGAACAATTTCATTCTATCTGATGTCAGATAACCTCTCAGAACCTTCTTTTTGAACTTTCATTGCACTGTATACTTTTTCTTTCAATAACAAAAAAAAAAATACATTTTGAAGGCTATTGTGTATTAAGCATAAGTCTTTGGGATTTAAGGTGGGAGAAACAGAAGTCAAATCTTGAGATCAGAGGATATCAATCAACAAATAAATAAGTGATTTGAGTGGTAAATACCATGTATTGAACAGGAACACTAGAAAGGCAATACGTGCAATGGAGGCAAGGATTTTGTTGTAGTCATCAGGAAGTACCTTGTGAGCTGAAGCCCAAGGGAGAACAAGCAAGACAGGAGAAACAGCAAAGGAAAAAGTCAAGATCTGGAAAGTGTGTTTGGCATATCAAAAATGGAACATCATCTAGACCTGTCAGAGCATTATGAACCAGGAAAAAAGTGGTGGAAGTTAAGAAAGGATGGACCAATAGATGTTAGATCATACTGCTCTTATTAAAGAGCAAAGTTCAAACATATTTTATGCCGAGAGACATGTATTACTGGAAGAATTGATAATATATCACTTATTCACATAAAACCTGTAGTTTTTCTTTTTTTTAGCTTAAAAAAACTTTATTGAGAATTTCATACAAGCATATAAGGTGTTCTGATCAAATCCATGCCCACTCCCTCCCCTCAAACACCTCCCAAATATCCCCATCATTTTTTCTGACAACTTTGTGTTCTTTCTCTCTTTCTTTCTCTCTCCCTCTTCCTTCCTTCCTTCCTTCCTTCCTTCCTTCCTTCCTTCCTTCCTTCCTTCCTTCCTTCCTTCCTTCCTTCCTTCCTTCCTTCCTTCCTTCCTTCCTTCCTTCCTTCCTTCCTTCCTTCCTTCCTTCCTTCCTTCCTTCCTTCCTTCCTTTAAATGGGGCCTTTTGCTACTCTAACATAGCCCCCCCCTCTGAAGAGGTAACCCTAAAATCTTTTAGCGATTAGATAAGAGGTCCCAAATATTTTTGACATTTTTGGCCTTTGGAACACAGTATGATGCTGAGGCCCAAAGACATTTTGACTTTTAGCCAAGAAACTGGATACTTGTCTTTGGGGTCTTTTTAACCCTAACTGCCTAGCTAATTCATACCTCCTATTCTTATCACACCATTCTCTGAAGTGGTTACCAAAATCTGCAGTTTTAACTTAAACATTTAAACATTTTCTAACCGCAGAACTCAGTACCATTAAATATGTTCATAATGTTATATAACCATCAGTATAGCACATTTTCAGAACTCTTTTTTCATCTTAGAGAATAGAAACTCTAAACCCATTAAACACTAACTCCATGGGGCTGGAAAGAAATGGCTCAGCAATTAAGAGTACATGCTGCTCTTTCAGAGGAGCCCGGTTCAGTTCAATTCCCAGCACCCACACAGCAGTTCACAATCTTCCTGGGTGATCCGATGCCCTCTTCTGCCTTCCATGGGCACCAGGCACACACGTGGCACACATACATACATTTAGGCAAAACACTCATACACATTAAAAAAATAATAAACAAAACTAAAGAAGCAAACAACATAAAAAACCACTAACTCCTGAGCCAGGAAGATGACTTGGGAGGTAACGGGACTTATCACCAAGCCTGGCAACAAGAATTCAATTCTCTAGGACCCACATAGTGGAAGGAGAGAACAGATTACCATAAACTGACTTCCTCACATTCTCGAGGAACCAGACCCTTCACACACACACACACACACACACACACACAAATATAAATAAATAAATAAATGTAATTTAAAAATCCTCACTAACTCCCCATCCCTGTCCACCCCAAAGAGATGTTTTTATAAGCCTGAATATTCTAAATGGAACCATAATTTTTTTAGCTATAATAAATAATGAACATAGATGTTCAGGTATTTCTTTGAGAATGTACTTTCAAATCTTTGGGGATACATGGAATCCCCATGGAATTGTTGGATCATACTATAATCCTATTTTAAAAATTGTCTTGGGAACTGCCATTCTTTGCCCATAGCAGTTTTGTTTGTTTTTTCATCTTTTTGAAACAGGGTCTTCCTGTATCCCTAGCTGGCCTGGAGCTCACTATGTAGACCAGCTGGCTTTGAACTCACTGAGATCTGCCTGCCTATGCCTCTCAAGTGCTGGGAATACAGGAGTGTGCCACCATGCCCAGCTCATGTCCATCATTTTATATTCCCTAACATTTTCTTTAAACCATGAAACATAATAGGATTTTTTAAAAGATGGCTTTGGTTACCTGATACAATAATTTATATAAATGCCTTAAATAGGTTTATTCACTTTTTGTTAATTAAAAATTATTTTTATTTTATGAGTTTTTTGCCTGCATGCAATGCCTGTGGAGATGAGAAGAGGGCATTGGACCCCTGAAACTGCAGTTCGGGATGGCTGTTAGCTACCACGTGTGTGCTGGGAACTGAATTGAGTCCTCTGGATAAGAATTTTAATTTCAGTGTACAAGGAGTCATACCTCATGCTTGGGGGAGACATGTGCTCTCAAAGCAACAGCCAAATGGACATAGCTCCCCATTTCTCTGCTGCCTTCATGAGCTTCTGTATTAGCAACAGCTTGTATCTAGAAAAAAAATCTGGAGGACACAGCTTTGCATGTACAACTATAATGGATGGTGAGAGATATGGGCGGAGACCATAGATTATTTTGTTTTGTTCTTCTATTTGGTGGGGGGGGGGGCTATATATCTGAGGATAATTTCTCCTATTATATTAAGTCTAACTTAACTGGGTACATTCTTAAAAAAAAAGTGTTACTGTTCATATTTACTCTGTGAGACATATGAATTCCATAGGGTTTGTTTCCTGATGGGGGATGGGTTTATTTTATCATGGAGGTGAGCTAAGATGGCCACATGGCTAGTGGCCTCACCAAGAGGGAGGCAACCATGTGACCTGGTCTCCATCTTGGTTGATGACAACATCAATATGGGGACAGCCATGTGGCTTGGTTGCCATGTTGGACAGTAACATTTTCAAAATGGT